ACATTACAGGAGAGGAACCCTAAGTTTAGGAAACCTCAATCTATTATACTGAACAGTACATATGCCTACTCTTTGTTCCAAAGGAAGATACTCTCTCTTTCTTCTATGGCTCTATGCAAGCCTAACCTTTGCTCTAGAGGAAGACACTATTATCTACCTTCCAGGGCTGTTCAACTTGGTATCTCCTTTCATCCTGGAGAGCCCCTTTGCCTCTTTTACGTTGAATCCTTTTTTGTCTATCACGTCTTTCTCTTTCTGGGATTACTCCTTTACCTTATGAAGCATATTTTCCATAGATGGGAGGTAAAGTTTTTGAGACTGGACACGTCTGAAAATGCCTTTATTCGACCCTCACATTTCAGTGATAGTTTGGCTGGATATTGAATCCTACTTTGGAAATAATTTTCCTTTAGAATTTTGAAGGCATTGCTCTATTACCTTCTAGGTTTCAATATTAAGAAGATTGAAGTCATCAAAATTCCTGATCCTTTATATATCACCTTTTTTCCCCCATTCTGCAAGCTTGTAGGATCTTCTCTTTGACACAAGCTTTATAACACTGTTGATGATGTGCTTTGAAATGGGTCTATTTGGCACTCTTTCAATCTAGAAATTAATGTCTTTCAATTTTAGGAAAATTTCTGAATCATTTCAGTGATGATTTCTTTCCATTTTTTCTGTTCTCTCTTTCTGGAACACCTTTTATTCAGATATTGGACTTACTAGATTGGTCCTCTAATCTTCTTATCTTTTCTCTCCTATTTTCCATCTCTTTGTCCTTTGCTCTACTTTCTTGGAGATTTTCTCAACTTTATATTCTAAACCTTCTCTAGAGTATTTTTCCCTTTTGTATTTTATTATTGCAGTAATAACATATATAGAGTACACAAGTCTTAAGTGTACAGCTCAGTGAATTTTAACATTGGGCACACCCAGGTAACATCCACATCAAGATACTGAACATTTCCAGCACCCTAAAAGGAGCCTTCACGTCTCCTCAATTACTACTTCTCCCCAAGGGCAATTATTATTCTGACTCCTCTTACCATCAATGAGTTCTGCCTGTCGTGGGTTTTTTTGTGTGCATGTGAGGAGGACTAGCCCTGAGCTAACATCTGATGCCAATCCTCTCCTTTTTTCCTTGAGGAAGATTGGCCCTGAGCTAACATCCGTGCCCATCCTCCTCCACTTTATGTGGGACGCCACCACAGCATGGCTTGACAAGCAGTGCGTCCGTACGCGCCTGGGATCTGAACCGCGAACCCTGGGCTGCTGAAGCAGAGCACGCGCAACTTAACCACTTGTGCCACCGGGCCGGCCCCTCTGCCTGTTTTTTTTTAATGAGCTTTATTGAGCTGTTAAAATTTTTATACAATGAAATTTACTAATTTTAAGTGTACAATTTGATTTATTTTGAAAAATGTATACAATTGCATATCTACCACAATCAACATATAGAATATCTCCACTCCAGAAAATTCCTTCTTGCCACTTTGTAGTCAGTCCCCACTCCCTACCATGTATTATTCTGTGCATTAATCACCATGGTTTTGTCTTTTCTAGAATGTGACATAAACAGACTCATGCGGTATGTATTCTGGTGTTTGACTTCTTTCATTTAGAATAATGCTTTTGAGATTCAACCATGTCGTTTCATGTATCAGCAATTCAATGCTTCTTATTGCTGAGCAGTATTTCAGTAGTATACTAAAATTTGTTTATTAATTCACCAGTTCTCCATAAAGCACTTCGCAGAAACAAACACAAAAATACAGGACATATCCTTGACCCAATCCTCACAGTATTTCCACTGAGGTTACATCTAAAATTTCAAGATACAAAAAATACAATCTACCAAGAGAGTCAAATGACACAAAATATAGCAGAATTAATGCTATTATCTAAAGCACTTGAAAATCTATTCGTTACTATAAAATAAGTATATTTAAAAACATAGGGACATTTACAAAATGAATAGGTAGATATAAAAAAGAATCAAAAAGAACCACTAGCATTAAAAAATATAGTCTGAACCTACGAACCCCAGGCCGCTGAAGCGGAGCATGCAAACTTAACCACTACACCACGGGGCCGGCTCCAAGAATCCTTAAATTTAAAGATACATATTGATTTACAAATAAAAAAGATATGATATCTGGGTTCAGCTTTAAAATAATCCAGTTAAGGGGCAGGGGTTAGAGACGAAACAAAACTGGTTGTGTTCATTTTTCAAACTAGGTGATGGCTACACAGGGGCTCATTATTCTATTTTCTTTTGTATATGTATTATCATGGAAAAATTTGAACATTTTTTTCAAGTAGACTATGCTCAGATTTCTCTTCTTCATTTTTGCAAAGTTTAGAAATGATTTGTAGCCACTAAATCCACTGGACACTTTTCAACCTTTACCTTACTTCTCCTGTCTGAGGCACGTGATACTCTGGACCACTCCTGCTTCTTACTTTCCTCTCCTTTGTCGTTTGTCATTCATGCTCTTGCAGGTTCTTCTCCTTCCCCTCTGCCTCCTAACCTCTCAGGCTCATTTGTGGGCTCTTTTCCTATTTCCTCTCAAACACGCGCCCCCAAACACACACACACCCTAAATGCTGCTGCTTCCCAAGAGTTCCATATTCAAACTTCTTCCTTTTTCATTTCTACACATTCCTCCTATGTGAGCTGGTCCATTCTCTCTTATAACTTCAACTACTTACCTACATGCAAACCTCCACCTCCAGTCCTGAACTCTCTCCTGAACTCCCAATGCATCCTTACCTGAATAACCCACAGAAACCGTGAACAAATCCTCAAAACTGAACTGATTTATCTTTATCTTTCACCCCCCCCAAAAAAACCTGCTCCTGCTCATCTCAATCAATGGTTTCACTATCCTGTGAGTGATCCTAGCCAGAAAACTAGGAATCACTTGTCTTAGGGTTCTAAATCTTTCTAGCCCCCAACATTCAAACTCTTATTAAGTCATATCAATTATACCTCTGAAATATTTTTACAAGACATCTCTTTCTGTAACTCCAACTGCTTAGTTCAGACTCTTCATTTCTCTACCGGACATTTTTTTTTTTAAACTGGTTTCCCTATCACCACTCTAATCTCTCCTCTCCTAGGTCCATTCTCCACACTGGAGCTGGAGTTATCTTTCTAAAATACAAACCCAATAACGCCAATACTCCACCTGAAATTCTTCAGTGGTAGCCCCACGTTGAAGAAAAATTCCAAACTCTTTAAAGTACTCTTCAAGTACTTTAAGATCTGGCCTCTCCCACTACACTGCAAGTAGGATTCAGTCATCAAAATGACCTATGGTTCCCCACGTACAAAACACCCAAATCTATCCTTTGCTTCTGCTGTGCCATTTGCCCAGAATGCCTTTCCTCATCTTCTCTCCAGTGAAAGCTTACTCAGCTTTCTTAGCACAAGTCAAATGTCACATCATACTGGAGACTTCCCCTGATCTCCTTAGACAGTCAGAATCTTTTTACCAAAGGGTACAGAGAACGGCATCAGTGGTTGAGATCATGACTTGGATGAATTAGACCCACTTGGGTTGAAATCTCAGGTTCACACCTTATCAGCTATGACTTTGGGAAAGGTCTCTAAGTCTGTTTCCTCACCCCGAAACAACAGTAGCTACTTGACAGATTGTGAGGATCAAACAAGAGGCTGCATGCAAAATACACCGCACAGTGCCTCAAACAGAGTAAGTATTCAATAAATGTTACTGTTATTTATTCCCACCCTGGGGTCCTACAGTAACTTGCACCTACCTCTATCACACTATTGTGATGACCTGATTGTTGGCCCATGCAGAACTCAGACTACCTTCTGTCAGCTCTTTATTCCCACCACCTGGCATAATGCCTGGCTCGTAATAGGTTCTTAACAAATCTTGAATGAATAAATATTTCAAATCCTTATACTACATAACATAAGGCCTCAATTTTTTTTCTAATGGTCTTACTAAAGCTGCTTTCCATTTCCTGTACAAAATTGCTACTTTAAGTAAAATTTACAGAGGCCAGATTCATTTTAACTCAGAAAAAAGGAATTTTATAGGGCCTTACATGGTTTTCTTGTTTAAAAACACACACACACACACACACAAAGTAAGCCCACAATACTATCAACTATTTTCCAACATACAGAAAATACCAAATTTCTAGAATGGTTATCTACCTATTAAAAAAACTGTATAGGGCAGTCAAGGCAGGTTTTCTAAATCTGTGTCAGCTTCCTTACCACCAGGGCCTGAGCCAACTATAGGAACTAAGCTGTTTTCCAGAGCATTAAAAAAATAAAATTAGATCATAGCATTTTTCCATTCTGAAAACATGCTCCTTAGAAATTCTTAAAAACATTGGAATAGTCAAAGAAAATAATTATTACTACCCACTGCTGGGGGGGAAAAAAAGACAAGTGTGCTTTCAAAATTACTAGTAATTCAAAATTTAAGTAATCTTCAAAGTAGAATCAAAGTATGTGTAGGCAGTGTTCAAGCTGGTAGGTGGGGGCGGGAGGTACTCATTTTGCAATCTGGATCCTCAATAAATAAAATGCAAAAATGCAAAACGGTAAAAATACCAGATACTACTATATAATAGCATGGTATCTTTTATCTATTTCTACACTTAACCTTTAAACATTAATACCCTTTAGTAATTATTAATTAATGGGTTTAATATGCACACACCTCTGAACTACTTCAGAATAAACATGATTAAATACCTAGAAATAAACGTATCCGGGAAAGGAGAAATGCCTGTTAAAATATAGTTTCTCGGGTCTCACATCAAATGTGTGACATACGTACGGTTCTGCACCCAGAGGCAGCAACCTGGGAGGGTCAGAAGTGCCAAAGGCCCGAGGCCCTGCAGCTTGGGCGGCTGCTCATCCCTGAGACAACGCGGGGCGGGCCCAGCCGGGGTGGGGCTGAGGGCTGTAGCCCAGACGGGCCAAACGGCAGGGCGGGAAGCCCAACTCTCACCTCCACTTCCCTTTCCCAGCTCACACAGCCCAGTTCCGCGACCACCCAAGAAGCCCCTCACCACAAACAGAGATTTTTCTCTCCTGGTCGGCTCAAAGTTTATCGGTCTTTCCCAGCTGTCGGGGCCGCCGGGCTTTGTAGTTCGCCCATCCAGGCCACCCCGCCAAGGCCGCGAGCCCGATGAGCCCCTGAACTACAATCCCCATAATGCCCCGCGAGCCCCGCCCTTCCACTGCTCTCCCCCGACCCGCGCTGTGCTCTGCCCTGGCGCGGGAGACGAGGTGGGGCTGTCAACTGGGGCATCCCACCACCTGCTCTCTTTCTCGCGCCGGCCTCCCTCGGATTCTTTACCTAGGTGCTGCAGATCGGCTGACCGCAGGTGATGCGGTCCGGGGCGGGGCGGGGCGGGGGGGGGCACAGGCCCCCGCCACCGCGGAGTCCGTTAATTCGCGACGTGCGTGAAGAGGCGGCGGCGGCGGCGTACGGTTGCCATGGCAGCCGTGGGCCGCGCGGTGGGGGGAGCGCGGGTGCTGCGGCTCGCGGGAGGAGCCTGGGAACGGCGCCCCGGTGCGGGGGAAGGGGAGCGCGAGGGTGTGTCTGGGAGAGGAGCGAGACGGTGACATTGAGGAGGACCGTAACTAATTGAGTTCTGGTTCTGCCTGCCGTGGCGGCGTCCAATCCCCGTGGCAGGACGCGTGTCCTGTCCTCTCGGCGGAGCGCGCTGATCCTGCTCTATTCTGAGAGGATGCCTGTGGCGTCAGAGAAGGAGCGCCAGGTCGTCTGATCCTGCCCTTCCTCCGCCGCCTATCCGGACTTCCCCCCTGGCTCTGCCGGATGGCACGTTTGGAACCTAAGCCACCTCTTTCGGGGCTTCTCGCCAATAAAATCGTATTTGCAGTGTTTCACCCCTCCTTTCTGCCATTTTCGGAGAAGTGGGACAGAAACGAATCGTTTAGTAAAATGTAATGCATATGGTCTTGAGGAGATTTGAGAACTTGTAAGTGGCATTGATTTCAATTGAATTTTGATCCATCATACTTCCTAGGTAATCGTTTGTGGATCTCCATGACCCGACTCATAGATGCAGTATGGTATAAACTGAGGTTAAGAGCACGGGCTTCTAACTCACTTCTTAGTTCACGTCCTGCCGCTACACTTGGTAGCTGATAACCAGGGGCAGCTTCCCCTCTCTGATGCTCAACGTTTTAATCTGCAAAATGGAGATAATATCTATCTATCTCACGGTGCTTGTGGAAAATAAAATAGTGATACTGATGAAGCGTTATAAAACAAAGCCTTCCATTGTGATAAGAGAAGAGTGGTGGCCTGGAGGTGAGGGTGGGGTTTCACTGAAGAGGGCATTTTCTGTAGTCATGGAAAATCTCTGTATCTTGATTAGGGTTTGGGTTACAGAGTATATGCATTTGTCAAAACTCAGGAAATGGTACACTTAAGATTTGTACATTTCACTGTATGTAAATTTGCCTCAAAAAAGAACCATAGACTCTAATACGGACCATAGAGACAGTCTAGGCCCAATCTCCAGATTTTGCAAATGAGGAAAATGAGGCCTAGAGATTTAAGTAAATGGTGGCAGGGGGCGGTGGCTGACCATGTTGTTTTCTAGTGATAAATGTCTCTTGAGAAATTATGATTGAAAATAGCAAGGTACTGTGTATGTCATCCAGTTCTCAGTCGGGGTTACCTTGTACACAGAAATTTTGTTGAAATTGACTCAAGTCCCCTTTCCACCTCCTGTGGAAAGGCCAGTATTCTCTCCAAGATTGCACATTCCCTGGGGGCTTACATTCTCAGGGTCATTTCTGGCTCTGAGCTCTTGCTGTCTCTGAACACTTAGATTTCCTCACATCTCACCTCCTATGACTCTTTTCTCTCTACTCCTGCTGACATAATGTGGACGTCAAGCCCTTTTCTTTGGTTGGTTGTATAGCAGACTCTTCTGGAGTTTTGGAGCAGCTGAGGGATTTTAAATGAAGGATGCAAATAACCTAAAATTAGAATTCCCTGCTCTTGAAAGTCCTTCGGTATCCCCACAGCATTGGTATTCTCTGACCCCCGCATCTCTTTCAGCATAAACTACAACTTCCCTCTATCCACCATCTCTCTGGTCCCCTCTCTCCCCTCCTCTTTTCTCTCTTGTATGGTACTTTTGGTTATCTTTGTCTCCTACGCAATACCCTCAGGGCTCCCTTCCATTCCTAAACTGTTTATCAAAGTACTTTCCTACACAAAGTACCTTCTTCAAGAGGAACTCTAGTGCCAGCTATTAAAATAATAATTCTTCACTCCAGTATATATCTGCATATTCTATGTGGTTCAGCCCACAGTATAGTTAATAAATATTATGCAGCTTATGCACATGACCTGTCCAGGCTACCTACATAGTGGGTTCAATTATGAAAACTATTTAGTATAAATGAGGAAGCAGTTGGCAATAGCTGGAATCTGATGTCCAAGAAAGAAAAAAAAACAAAGTCTACATGATCATAGCTTATATTGTGCCGAAGAAATGACAACATTCAAGCAATAAAATCCAGAACAAAATCTGAATAGTAAGCAGTAATGACATCCTTATAAGCAATAATGGCATCCTTATAGAAGCAACACCTGGACCTGTCACCTCTAGCAATTTGGTCACAACTCTGCATATATAATGAGCATATAAATAGATTCTCTTTTACTCCTGGAGAAGATGATACTGATCTGCTATCAGCTGAACACATGTTTTTGTAGTAAGGAATGATCGGTTCACCTGATCCATCTATCCCTCATCTAGTTTCCTTGTTACCAGTCACTTGCATTTGCAAAGCAGCTGGCCAGGGTTGTAGTGCAGTTTACAGCCATGAAGAAGTCTCCAAATACAAAGTCCCGATGCATAACCCTCCTTGTTTTGTGAAGTCAGGATCCCATAGCATCAGCTGAGCAGGACGAGCCACTTGAGGAGAAGGGATGACAGCAGTGAAAGGAAACAGCTGCTCTGCAGTAAGCTAACGGAGAGCAGTCACGCGAAGGAAGACCGTGAGCCACTGAAGCACAGCCTTGAAAAACCTAGCATGACTATGGACAGCTGGGAAACTATGAGGACTGACGATAAACTTTAGTTTATTGTTTTCACTAGATGCTTCAGACCAGTTCAAGTGATGGTTAAACACACTGTGCAAATCTAAAAGACGAAGCTGAAAGTAATGACAAATTAATCTACACCGATAGACAATATGGTCAAGAGCCACTGTCCTGTTAGAGAGACCTGGTGCATCTGGTTCAAAGCCAGAGGCTTTTCCTCAGTTGTCAGTCTTCTTGGCCTCTGTAGCACTGGACTTTTCTGGCCACCATTCTTAGTGGTCCATGACCTTGGTTCTCAATGGTATGGTTCACAATGAAGCATACTTCATTGTGTTATTCACCAGCACCTCTACCTGCTCCTTAAATGTGGCAAGAGTTCCCAACATTCAGTCGATACACCCTCTCCATTTCCAAGGTTTCATGTCTCAGCTCTGGGTGCTCAGATTTCCCTCGCTAGTTCTGATCCCCAGGTTCTAGTACCGTCCCGAGCATGCCGCGTGCTCCCTTACCTGCTCTATTGCTCCTAATGTTCTCTTCCCCTGGAATGCCATCCCCCTGCCCTAAATTCCACCTATTCTGCAAAAAGTAATTCATGAGGGCTTTTCATGAAGCCTTTCCGGATCATTCCTGCTCACTGTCATATCACCCTGCTCTGTACTCACAATATCTCCTGCTTGTATCACCCACTTGACAACTAACCATACTGCCTAGTGGCAACTTGTGTATTGTTTACTCATTGGCTTTTGTCTTTTCTCCTCACTAGATTTCAGACTCCTGTGATGTATATTTCTGGGTATTCCCAAAAATATCTTTATAATACCTTTCATATAATAATGATACTATATTTTTGATTGGTGGCTCCTTAACTTTTCTCCTTGGGAAAATCTTCTCTGTGGTGGCTCTCCTGCTTCTAGTACTAAACAGGACATTTGCAGCCTCTTAATATAAATATCCCTGGAACCTATGAAAAAGTGTGGGTCCCCATATGTATTTAGTGGCTGGGTGCCTTGGGAGGCAATTCCTTTAAGTCACTTTTGATATGGAGCGAGTTCAGGAGGTGAGTGGTTCTGAATTCCAGTGCTGAAAAGTCACCACTACAGTTGAAGATGTCTTAGAACAGAGTCTAGTAGGTCATGAAATCAATTTGATGGGTCCCATCCAGCTTTTTTTTTTTTTTTTTTGCTAAGGAAGATTTGCCCTAAGCTAACATCTGCTGCCAGTCTTCCTCTTTTTGTGTGTGAGCCACCACCATAGCATGGCCACTGACAGATGAGTGGTGTAGGTCTGCACCTGGGAACCGAACGTGGGCCGCTGAACTAGAGTGCACCGAACTTAACCACTCGGCCACCGGGGCTGGCCCCCATCCAGCTTTTTAATATTTAAAATGTGACAGTTTAAGGTAGATTAGGGTAAGGTAAACCAGAATAGAAGCAATAGAAAATTAAATGCAGAGTGCACGCTCATAGTGACACTATGGGAAAGTGTGGTGTGGCAGTTACTGAGCTTTCGGCTTCAGACCTACCCTCCATCTACTGCTTCCGGGGGGTGGAGCTGGGACTGTGCAAACGTGTTTCTCCTTTGTCATCTGGCTCCGAGGTGCACTAGAGGAAGAGCACAGGCTGGAAGAGGGGGAAGGGACTTACTCACAGGGTTGCTTCCTGTTGGCTTACTCTGCCTGTCAGCATCACCCCAGCAATGGGCTTTTCGCCTGATAGTGGTATTTCCTGTCTCCAGCTTCTTCCTGCACTTCCAGAACCAGCGTCCTCATGCCTCTTCTCCATCCACCTCAGACTTACTAGCGTCAGCCAGGCAGCGCCCTCTTCAGAATCTGGTCCTGCTCCGTGGTGCCTCTCCTCTAAGCTGCTGGGTTCTGATAAGCCCAAACCTCTCTACGTACTTTGATGTCCAGCCCCTGTGGTGGTAGCTGCTTCTTGTGTTATTACTCATGTGTTCCTCTATGCTCCTATTTAATTTTTTCCATCCTCCAACATCTCTTTAATCAATTCCCTGTGCTAAATTCTTTCTGTTGAAATACTCTCCTTTCTTTTTTCCTGACTAG